TTAAATGCAGAAGTATTTGCACCTATCAGGGTCAGGTTCACAGTCTGTGTTACTTTACTGCAATCTCTTCCCTCATACTCCTGATCGTCTCCATCCCTGTCTCCTTCCCCTTTGCAAGGGAGGCTCCAGCAGGCTCCTCACCATCCGTGTAACCAGCAGATGCCTTGAGACTGATCTGCTCCAGAAGCACTCGTGGACCCACTGCATCTGAAGAGGGTCAGAACTCTGAACTGCAGATGTTTTGGGACAGGGACTATATCTTTTTCTGTGTATGTGTGTTGACAGAATACAAGCACAACCACACGAAGCTATAGGAATACTACATCGTAGCCTGCCAAGCTTGATTATGATAACTAGTCACCTAAAGACGAGTGAATGTGGCCTTAAGGCTAGTCTGCTGGGACTGGAGACAAGCTGTCTGCAGTCTTCTCCTCCCTGCTCAAGGAACTATCATCTAAGTTCCCTTGTCAGCCCTATTTCTTCTCATCTCCCAAACACCATCCCCACCCATGTGGATGTCCTGAAGCATGCTTCCCACCCACCTCACCCATATGCTCACCCATATGCTAGTGACCCCAGATCTCTTCTAGATCTGTGTTGGATTCTTATACTGCAGCCAGTTTTTCCCTCACAAGATTCCTATTTCAGGCACAAAGAAAAAAAAAAAATCTAGCTATAAAACAGTCAATTGACATGATGTTTTCATTAACTGAGAAACACGTTAAAAATGCATTAGCTGGGCCCAACTGACCCTCAAGAGTAACACACAAGTTGGAAAACTTCCCTTTTCCCAACACTGCACGCCCTCGTTTACCACCATGCACATGAAGAACTTGGCAAACAAAGGCTGTGGCTTTCAAAGTCGGAAATAGAAATAAAAAGACAGGAATTCCTCAGGAAAGGAAGAAGCAGCAATACCAGGTACCAACTAGTCTGTATTAAAATAATTACTGTCATCAGTTGGTTAAGGGACAGAGCAAGGCACCAGAATGCTGGTGGTTCGTTGGAGATTTACTGCTTTGTCGTGTTTTAGTAGCTCAGTGTGTAATACTGCAGGATGTTGGCGTGCACTCACAGCCCACCTTTTGAATAGTTTAAACTGGCCATGTTCTTCCAACATAAACAACTTGAGGAGGGCTTCCTGGTCACATATCATTTATCCTGGCAAGGTAGGTTCAGTATTATTAGTCTCTCAGAAGGGTGTAAAATGCTCTTTTTGTTCATGTACTTCTAGAAATTCCTGACAAATACTTCATTATAAACCTAACCTAAAGGAATCCCATCAAATGCTTGTAAGATAAATTCCAACTTCATAAACTGAGTTTTCAAATGGATGCCACTTGTTAATACTCCACATTTTAAAGCTACGTCACCTAACAAAAGAAATCCATCAGAACGGTCTGCAAAATATTTTTGTAGGAATAAAGTTATTGACTTCCAATAGACACCAACAGAAGCAACTACAGATCTGTAAAATGCACACTTGTAATCAACACTGATGCTATTTTGGCAACGTGCATTTCAAACTGGTGAGCTTTTGCTGGCTGTTTAGAAAGGCTTATTAATGCAATGTTGGCTGAAGCACGTCATGATAAAGAAGTCCGTTTCTTTTTAATAACACTGTGAAAGCACACAGGATGGGCACACAGAACTCAACGTCAATTGATCTCTAAAATGCACAAACCAAATACAACACTCTGCAGCTTAAAAGTAATACTCAGTTCTTAATCTCTGCAAAGACTAAAGAAGGAGGCTGGGGCCTTTACAGCCGGCAATTTCCAAGACTTGCATTATGCTCCTGATTATATTCAAAATACAACAGAAGAGACCTAGATTTATCAAGCACACACAGAATAGGGATACGTCAGGGAGATGTGTAATTACTTGCAAGACACAAAGAATCACAACCAGCAAAATTACTGCACCTCACAGTTTCTCCTTAAGCACTTCTCATTACTCTTTAAAAGTTATTTTTAAGTATGTGCATGTGGTACAAATGTTGGCCATTATCTGTGAAACTACCAGACTTGTCAAACAGCAGCAGGCAATATTTTAAAGATCGTATATTTCCTTAGATTCTTTAGTCCTAGAACTTACAGTGACATAATGTTTAATACTCCACTAGAAATTAAAAATGACAGAGGAGCAAAGTCGTACGTTAACTGGTTAAATTAGCAATCAGACATTGCTTCCAGTAGCTTCATTACAGCACTGTATCTTATATTGATAGTTTCATCTCCTTAGGTAACTTCCGCTGACTGTATCCCATCTTTTTTATACAAGCTTCAAAACCATTTTAAAGCTGGAGTAACTTCCTAAAAGGAGCCCAATACCATAATCCTCACTAATACAGCAAGCAGCTATTTACACAGTCACATCCCTGACTTCAGTGGGATGACTCATGCAATAAATGTTGGTCTGGATTAGAGTAACCACCACCACCACCCCCCTTTCTTTTCCTTTTTCTTTTTCTTCCTTTTGGGAAGAATTTTAAAAGACACAGAAGAGCCAACATGTCTCTATCTACTCTCCTCCGGCATCTACCAGAACACAAAACAAAAGAGGCAGACTACCTGGCAAATACCCTTTGTACTTCCCGATGAAAGTGAGATAGTCAATATCTCTAAGTTAGAGATAGCAAACGTTTCTAAACTGGGGGATGGGGGAGAACGACAAGTTTTCTCCAGTATTAGATACAACAAAAACGCCAACATTTGAAAATCTAAGAAAGTGATATGCTGCTATAAACAACGTGTGAAATGAGCCAGATATGTCTTAGGCATTAGTAAGAAAGAATGCACTACTCCATTTTATTGTTTTCAGCAGAACTGCCCCATTTCAGCTACATACCCAGTCACTGTGGAGATGTCAGGACCCTCCAGGCATAATTTCAGCAGTGAAAAAAAACAAAACTCACAACATTACTTTTCTAAAAAAAGTAGTATCTCTGTTTCTGAGATATACAGGACAATCATTCTGCCATCATTCTCATGCTTCAGTTAGCAACCATCCTGTGCAAGTGAAAGAAAAGTTTGTATACAACTATGAGAGAGCACACTTCTTTCCCCCTAACTTGTTTTTAAGATTGTGCTTTCTCTCTTTTTTATGGCCTTAACTACTACGAAATAGTGGTCTTTCCAACCTTAATGATTCTATAATCATTCTGTGATCATTCGATGATCAGGGGACTGAAGCACCTTTCCTATGAAGACAGGCTGAGGGAGATGGGCTTGTTCAGCCTGGAGAAAAGAAGGCTGCAGAGTGACCTCATTGCAGCCTTTCAGGACCTAAAAAGAGCCTACAAACAGGAGGGGAGTCAACTCTTTGAAAGGGCTGATAACAACAGGATAAGGGGAAATGGTTTGAAGTTGAGGGAGGGAAGGTTTAGGTTGGATGACAGGAGGAAGTTCTTTACTATGAGAATGGTGAGGTGCTGGAACAGCTGCCCAGAGAGGCTGTGGATGCCCTGTTCATCACTGGAGGTGTTGAAGGCCAGGCTGGATTGGGCCCTGGGCAGCCTGGTCTGGTATTAAATGTGGAGGTTGGTGGCCGTGCATGCTGTGGGGGATTGGAGCTTCATGATCCTTGAGGTCCCTTCTAACCTGGGCCATCCTGTGATTCTATGATTCTATGAAAACAGTCCCAGTGAGCAATCTATGTAGCCTGACACAGAGTAAAGCCATACTGCTCATCACTGAATACCTATAGAGCCCCATCATTGCTGATTGTTAGTTACCAGCATATGCATGTGCTCCAGCACAGGAAGCTGTTTTGATGCATCACACAAACACGTTACAAAGTGTGCACTAACTGTGTGAAGTAAGTGAGCTGCATGATGCTGAGCTGCCAGATCTCATTCCATCACTGTGTAACATGGGTTAGAGGAAGCACTAGCAATCTCAAAAGTCAGGGCTGGTGAAGCAAAACAGGCAGAAACAACTTTGTTTCCTCTGACCTTGGCAAAGTGAGTTGGTTCATCATTTTTCCTCACTTCACATAGTGCTGTTTGCAGCCGCACTTCCTAATTCAGATCATCAGTACTTGAGGGGGGCATATAAACAGGAGGGGGAATGGATGTTTATGAATGTGGATAGTGATAAGACAAGGGAATGGTTTTAAACCAGACAGGGGAGGTTTAGGTTTGATATTAGGAGGAAGTTTCTCACCCAGAGAGTGGTGAGGCACTGGAACAGGTTGCCCAAGGAGGTTGTGGATGCCCCATCCCTGGAGGCATTCAAGACCAGGCTGGATGTGGCTCTGGGCAGCCTGGTCTGCTGGTTGGTGACCCTGCACACAGCAGGAGGTTGGAACCAGATGATCATTGTGGTCCTTTTCAACCCAGGCCATTCTGTGGTTCTATGCTTGCCAGTAAATGTAATTCACTGACAATTAACACTTCCAGCACTGGGACAGTAGCTAAATATGAAAGCATACATAGAAATCTTTGACCAAAATATGATAGAATAAAACTTTCAGCCGGACTGCAAAAGCCAGCTGCCCCAGAGTTAGCCGTCTGGCACATTCTAGCAAATGCTACGGAACAGTGATAAAGACTTATGAGATAATCTGTCTTTTGCCTTCCAAATCTGTCTCCAAAATAAAGAGGAAACGGTGTGTAAAAAGCCAGGCAGGAGTTGTTAAAACACTTGATTTAATATATAGCATAGATCCCAGCGTGCTTTATCATAGCATGGCTTGGGTTGAAAAGGACCACAACGATCATCTAGTTTCAACCCTCCTGCTACGTGCAGGGTCGCCAACTACCAGACCAGGCCACTGGAAACCGTGGGCACACTGGAAGTGAGCGGAGGTCCATCCCGCTCACCCCGGCCGTGTCTCAGAGGTGCCGGCACCTGCCTGCGCCGCCCGCTGCGCTCTTTCCCCCCCGGCACCACGACCCGCAGCAGCCCGGTCTCGCCGCCAGGGGGCGCCGCGTGCTCAGCGGCCGGCGCGAAGAGGCTGAGCTGCAGGAAATGACGCGGGCCGCGGTCGCTCCGCCCCGTCGCTGCACTGTTTACCTGCGGCGGCGGTTGGTGGCCCGGTGTTGGACGGCAGGATGACGGGTGCGGAGCGGGTGCGCGATGGCAGCTGCCACTTCCAGCGCTCGCGGCTCATCTGGATGATCGGCATCATCTTCGGCATGATCCTGCTGGGCGTAAGGGCGGCGGGCTCGCGAACGCTGCGATTGGGATTGAGGTGACGGGAGGGGGGCGGCCATCCCAGCCATCGTCGACCCGCGTGCGTCTGACTGCTGTTGGAGATGCGGCCGTGGCGCGGGGGGCGAGCGAGACAGCGGCCCTCGAGGACCTTAACGTTAATAATACCGTTTTTGTCTCCGCAGTGGGTATCGCTGTCACCTTCAACCATCCCTTACAGCTATTTGGGACTGTTTGGTAACTTCCTTCGTTATTTAGTGGACAACTACCACAAGTGGGTGTGCTACGGGTGAGTGCCATCTGGCTGCCTGCTCCTCTCTGGCTGTCCTTGTTAACGAGCTGTTCCGTAACCTAGCTGTTAAGTACACTTGGAGCTCTGCTGCCGGCTCGCCGCAGCTCAGGGTGCAGGGCAAGAAGTACTGCAGGAGATGAGGCAGGCTGAGGCCAGGCTGGAAGGATGAGAATTCAGCTTACAGTTTGGCATCTCTGCTGGTATCCTGAGAAAGGAAAGCATACAGATAATACTTTCAGAGACAGTTACTGGTCCCTATTTAAACTTAGGCTTGCTGTTATTTTGCCAGTTTGTTGCTCAAGTAGTCTAAACCTTTGATCTTAAGAACTGGAAAACAATTTCTCTGTAGCCCAGCACTTTTCTATGCTGTCTCCTTACGGGAATCCTCAGCCTGCCTTATTTATTTCACTGTATTTCATGTAGTCTTTGCTTAAAGCTTCCTATGCTTTAGCAAGGTACTGAACTGATCCTAATTGGATGTCCTTTTTATGAAAACTTTCAAGACAGGTTAAAATAATTCTCACGTTCTATATTCTCTATCTGTACACACAGTTGAACTATACCTGTACGCATAGAACTACACCCTTAAAAGCTTCCCTAACGCTACAGGATCACTAAAATTACTCCTGTAGGTAAAAGGATAGGTTTTGCACATTTAGTTAAACCACTGCATTCAGTCAGCTTAACCAAGTACTGAAACTTGTGGAGACGTGCAGTGGGTACTCAAAATGGCAAGTTCAGGTGTATTGCATGAGTTTCCATTATACTTTCTAGTTTTCTGGGCTCTAGGTTCTTCTAAGACAGTGCTTTTTTTCCCACATCTAAGATAAGCAGTGCCTTCCTTTCTAGCTTAAGGTGTAGCGACATTGCTGTGCTTACAATTTGACACCCTTTGCATAATAGATCTTAGATACAACAGTCTTCACTCTGATGTAAAACAAAAATAAAATATATTTTCTTTTTATTAGGTTCTACGTATCCTGGTTGATTCACATAGTAGAAGCCTTGTATGGTATAAAATTATGCCAGTAAGTTATCTCCCCCCTACTTCTTACCTCAGATTCTCTGGAAAGGATTTCTGGTACAAGTGACACTTAAGTTACAAACTGATTTTGGTGGTTGTCAGGAGTAATATTAGTTCTGAGGGTGCTGGTCAAGTTCATGCTGGAGTATTCCTTTGCTGTCATCCACAGGAGGTTACTGCTGTACTGGATAGCAAAAATTAGGAGATGGCAGCTTGGGAAACTGGCAGCAAGGTCTGCCAAAGCTCATCTGGCTGCAACCAAACACAATGTTCTGTACAATTGTTTGCTTGTTTTTTGACAATTACCCTTTGTGTAATAGGCAGGTTCTTATTCATTGTTGGTTCAGGTGCTGGGTAACAGCACCTCAGATAGCAGGGGGAAAAATAGGTGGGTGTTTAATCAGGTCTTACCTCATCAGAATTCTGCCTCCTGTTGAAATAGATTGCATCTGTATTGTGAAAATAGACTTGGATATCTCCATTCGAGATTACTTAAGATCTAGTTATATATGCAGGTCTGTGAAATAGAATACTCACTAATCAGATTCTAATGCCAACCAAGTCTTAAGTTAGGATCACAAATCATTTGGGAGTTCTTCTATTCCTTTTAATGTTGTTTCTAATTCAGAAGAATTAGAAATGCTCCTATTTTGCATTGATTCTTCCCACTCCACAGAGATGTCAGATTAATTTGCCATTGTGAGAATTACTTTTTCAACTTACTTTAATTAAGGCCTTATCTGTCTCTAGCTTCTCAGATAACATCTCTTGGAAGCAAAGCAATTTTGTTCCATTGATAGCTATTTCAAGTGGCTCTCAAGCATATTTTCTGCCTTCAGAACGATATCTAATGATTAACTATTTACTGAACACCAGTTGTAAGCTTTAACTTTCAATTAAACCCTTAAACTCTGGTTCTGCTGAAAGCTTTTACATATATTGGCTTAAGGTTATATTAAGAGTGAGGCAATTTCATTACTATTGAGCATACCAAGTGGATGTATTGCAAACAAATAATTAAGTTTCTGCAGATAATGTTAAAGGCCGTAAGAAAGCATGGATTGTCTGCCCATCTTTTGTTGAGGCAGACTTCTGTACGTAACCAAATAGTACTTTCCTATTAGTACTAAACACTGTTTAATGATGAAAGAGGTAGTAACATCTACACATGAACATCACAAAGGAGACATGAGGAAGAACTGGAGAGAAAGGAGGTATAAATTCATTAATTATTAGTGGTGCTTTCACCGAGTTTTGCTCTGTGTTTCTTCATACAGTGTCTTCAAGTAAGTTTGCTTTATACATAAAAAGGTAAAGTTCTTGAAACCTAGTTTTTCCAGTGTCTGGACTCATTTGGAAACACTGCATTTGGTATTATAAAAGTTTTCCCACAGCTGGTAAGAAGAAATCTAAGAACAAAAAAAAAAAATCAACAAGTGTTGTGTTAATCAGTACTAACTACACATTCATCTTCTCTGTGTAGACACAACAGATGAATGCTTGCAGCAAAAGTCAGTAGAGGGAGCTGCCTTCTAAAATTAACAAATATGCTTATGCTTGACATAATTCTCTAGAAACATGATAACAGTTGTTTCAGCTTTCATGTTTTTGTTTCTCTCAAAGTATTTCCCAACAATACTAAAATGCAAGAGGTGGTGTGACATTCCTGAGCAAGACAATTATCTTTACTAAGATGAATGTGATTCAGTTTTTGGGAGGTAAAAAGTGTGACAGTATTGGTACTGTGGGCTGAAGTTACTATTGCTTCACATCCCTAGTGCATGTAGTGCAACATAAGTCAGCTTGCAGACAGGTTCTTTATAGCATTACTAGACCTCTTTCTGTAACAAACAAAAGATTTGCATATGCTAATTTAAAACTAATTGACTTAAATCAGGTCAAGCATCTTGAGCCCCCTCTGCTTTCTTTTTCTAGCCACAAATTCAGGCAGCAGTGCTCTGCCATCCTGTACTGCAGTCACACCTGAGCAATTGTTAAGCCACTTTGCCTTGCTAGTGTACAGACTACCTCCAGAGTCTGTAGTCAGCAAGAAGGTACTCACAGACTTGTGGTGAAGAGCAAAGGTAGATTTGTTTTAAGCTTGTCTTACTTATTGATCCTTGAATTATGTAAACTTGTCACATGAAACAGCACAGACTGAAGTTGCAGATTATGTATTACTGAGGAAGTTGTATGCACAAAACCTCTGTAGGTTTCTGTTGACAGTTTATAATCCACTAAAATCCTAAGAACTAGTGCTGTCTTGTAGGAAATAAGTTTCAGTTGGAAACAAGTCTGAGATTAAATGTTCTAAACAAGTCTTAAGTATCAAGGTTAGGTAGAAGTACCTTTTTAATTATCACAGTGTAGTCTGCGAGACTAAGCTTTTTGATACATCTTATGCTTTTGTTAATGTTACAGATCTAAAGGCATCACTGACCCAGCAGTTCAGTTCCACTGGTTCATTCAGACACTTCTATTTGGGTATGCTTCCTTCGGTCTCCTGGTGTCTTACAAGCCTCCAGTCAAGAAATACTACTAGAAGCCTGTGACAGAAGTCTCCTCTCAAATACTTCATCCTTATTTTTCAGAAAACAACCTCACATGTTTAGAAGCTGTAATTAGCTATGTTACATTCCTACTACATGATGCAGTGCCCTTCTACCAAAGTAAGACTCTCTTGCTAAAGAAGAAACTCAGCTATTATTCAAAAGGCACTGTGGATGGTTTGGTAGAAATTCAGCCTGTCAGTCTTGGCACTGCCTAAGTTTCATTCTGTTACGCAAGAGCCAAAGGTTGCAGCCTTGCACTGTTTGAGATAGACTGTATACTCCAGTTGTCATTGGTGAGAAAAGGACCTGACAGTACTTAGTAGTGGTTCATAGGTGACCTTTCCATGGGGAGAATTTTTCTTCTACAACAGAAATTGTTATTTATGGCCACAAAGCAACTTGCACCTGTTTTGTGGCAGGATCTAAGTTGTTTCTACAGTTTTTCTACAGGACTTTTTACTAGCTTTTTCTATGTTTGTTAGAGCCTAGTCTGTGTTATTTGTTTTGTCAACTTTCTTTAACAAAGGACAGACTTCTTTATTGCTGCAGGCACATTAAAAAGACCAAGTCCTTTAAAAGACTGAGTTCAGGTTGAGGTGCAGTGATGAGCTGGGATACATAAAGAGCTTGAACTTGGTTTAATACAGGTGCCTTAAGTTTCATGCAGCATGACCTCATCTTTCAAATGTAGATTTTTATCTCTGAGTTAGTGCAGTATATGCTATAGAGCATAGAGAGAATCCTGTAGCTTTTTTGAGAACTAATTTATTATCCAAGAATAAAAGCACAACATTCCAAAAGCGAAGTCTTGTAGGCTGTCACATGAAAAGCATAACAAGTCAGCACTCATCCCATCTGCCAGATGTTCAGTTTCTGAAATGTTTGGTTTGTAGACCACGTTCAGCATCTCTCAGAGTATTTTCTTTATGTCTAATTGAGCCTTTTAATCTGATAATCTGTTTTACATCTCTCAGTATTTAACCAGAATTAACTTCTCTCTTATTTAAACCACTTTCAGAAACAATTACTATTTAAAATATTTGTCATTTGGGGAGAGGTTTTTACCACATCACCCATGATGCTACTGTTCTAGTAAAAAGAAGAGAACACAGGCTTTGCTCAAACGAAAAGCTTCTTGAGTCAGTAATGAGCAAGCATTTACCTAGTGTAGCATGTATGGACTATGCTGTGCTATAAGATGTCTGATACAGAAGTCTTACTAAGTACAGGTACTTGAGGTTTTTGCTTTTTAGCTAGAACTAAGAGCATAGAGAAACGAAGAGCTTTAAATGGTGGAGTGGCTTTTTTTCCTTTTTTTTTTTTGACCAATGCCCAACTGATACCACTAACAGTTTTTAGGAAAGTAGAAAGTACGTTTAGTGGTTAGAAAACCACAGGAATATCAAGAACCTGGGCTAGGTTTCCCTGTGTAACTCTGTATCTTACTGTGATCCTTTAATAAAGATTGGAAAAAAAAAATAATGTAGATTTTCTTTTTATTTTATCCTGGAAATAGATGTATTAAGTAAATTTCATTTAACTAGTCATTATCTTTACACTACTATAAATACTAGGAACACACAGCATCAGCTTTTTCTTAACTGTTTTGTCTTTGTTTCCCACTATTCACTTTCCATCTAAAGTAAAGCTACCAAGTCAGGACTAGTCTGTTACCTTGCCCTGCCAGCTGCAGCCTGCAGAGCAAGCACTTGTGTTGCCAGCTGTCAGATCCTTTCAGGTGGGTTCAGGAATTTCGAGCAATCGCTTCTTTGAGCAGTTAGCAGCCTACTTTGGACTCCACTCAATTAGAAGAGCTTCCTTTTAGAGTTAGAGCAGGAAAACGTTTCTCAATGCAAGACAAGCTATAAAATAGGCAGTCAATAGACAGCTGCCTTAATTGCAAGCTATTTCCAAGCTGGAACAAATTTTTAGCAAAACAACAGCATCAGCTGATGACCAGAGAGAAGCATTTCTCCAGGCTATCCTGATGAAGTATCACTCTTGATCATCTAGAATAGTTTTTTCCACTGCAATCAAAATACTCTCTCTATTAAAAAAAAAAAAAAAAAAAAAAAAAGTGGGGAAAGCAAAGAAAACTATGAAATCTATCCTTATTTTCTTAACAGCAGCACAGAGTTCAGACTGCCACATCTGCAGTCAACACATCCAGCCCTCCAGACTTGCAGATGTTAGTGCTTTGCTGTAGGGTCTCAAAAAGTGTTACTTCCTACCAAAAGGAAAACCATATGAAGCTTACAGAAAGGCTTTTACAGTTAAAGAGCATCACTAAAAATAAAAGGGTAAACCACCAAGAAAGCTAAGCTGACATTATGAAAGGTTTTCAGGGTGGCTATTTCTGCCAAGCAGACGGATAATACTGCTGAATAGAAGTAAATGGAGTTGAACCATCCATTTCAAATTGAAACCGTAAGAAAAAAAAATCCCCCTGTGAAAACCAGTGTGTGAAGATATGCATACTTACGCTAATAATATGAAGAAAGAAAGAAATAACAGTACCTGCTTTGTAGGCATTTGCTAAAATGAGTTATTTATTTTACTTGCATGTTAAAAAAAAAATCATACATACAAATAGTAACTACCATCACTTCTAACAATGGTCTTACGCTGGGTTTGCTTAGTAACTTAAGCTCAGAATGCAATTCCAAGACACTACCCAGATTCTTTTTTCGTCTTCAAAGCATCATTCATGGAAGCGGATGGACATGAGTGCAATATACTTGTTGAAACAGAGTCACCTCTGGGTCAGTATACTTAAGAAATCACTGCTCAGAATCTCATTCTGTTGATGAGTCTAGGTCAGGAACTGCAACATGAGCACAGGAGACCAGTTCAGAAACTTTCTTAAATCCAAATAGAAGACAATGAGATGCTTCCTATTTGTTTACAAGAACTTTTTCCTCAAGTCTTTGGGGTCATAGGTCATTTTTGCAAGGAAGTTATGAAAAGAAGCCTCAAAATCATATCATATTGTCTTGGTTTGCTTCTCTTTCACTCTGACCTAGATTCTTCTAAAGACAATGGGAGGCAACTTTGTAAATCACTAAGTGGTTGGTCGTTAAACGCATTTAATTTGCCTAGGAATGGATAGCTGGTTTCCCAAATGGCAATGTAGCCCTGTTGCAACTGGGGAAGCAACCTGTTGTAGAGTCTGCAGGAAGTTTGTCTGCTATAATCGGGGTCTTCAAAGTGTTGCCATCTGCTGCCTGTGGGCACTGTGTTGTGCTCTGGAGAGGAACGGGTGGCAGAGAACAGACATACAGAAGATTTTAAAGGTGCACTGTTCTAGAAAGCATTAACTCACTGATTTTAAGGCTTTCATACTTTCAAGATTCTTAAAGAAAGAACTAATACAGAGATGTTTTCATGAAAGAGAAATCAAATTATACATTCCTTCTGTATTTATACCTCACATGTAAGTAATGAGAAGGGAACATCCATTCTCACTTCTTGATTACACTACTGTTGTAAACAGCAGGTTTTTCTTTGTGCGTAGGTAACTCAGCTTATTTCAAGACTCAGTGAAATACTTTGGCACATGCCGTAAGCCCGCACATTCAGTTCACCTTGTCAGTAGAGTGTTTGTTCAGACTGGTGTCTGTATGAATCAAGAGACCATCATGGTGTGTTTTAATAAAGGGGTGAAAAAAAAAGCCCTGAGCATTTCCTTCAGTGTTGGCCATCAGCCTGGCAGGTCCCCTACAACACCAAACATAATTGCAGCATGTGAATGACTGCGGGCAAGGAAGGGAGAGGGGAAAGAAATACGGCTGCATCTTTTATTGGAGTTCTTACAGACTTCTCTTTAAGAAAAGCTTCTTAGGTGCCTCTTGAGGAAATAGGCAGAGACATCAACTTACTGACTCAAAAAGCAACACAGGTTAAAATCTCCTTAAAGACACTCCAGGCATCGTAAGGACCAGATGTCATAAGAAAAACAGAACAGGAAAACTAACACTCACCTCCACAACTTCCAGGAGCTCAAAAGATTTAAAACGTTCGCAGTAGCCAACAAACAAACAAACAAACAAACAAACAAACAAACAAAAAGAAAGAAAAAAGAAAGCACACACCACCAGAACTCTCTTTTTCCTCCTATGGGCAGGGCAAGCCCCTCATATCCTTTCTGTGGATGCACTCAGGTGTGCTTGATTCACCTCTGCCCTGTCCTCAGGTCTTTTTTAAAGAGACATGGGCGAGTTGGGCTTAGAGATCTTATTATTTATGCACAATACTAAATTACTTCAAAACATTCATATTGTGTTCAGTTTTGGGCCCCTCACTACAGGAAAGATGTTGAGATCCTGGAGCGTGTTCAGAGAAGGGCAACAAAACTGGTGAGGGGTCTGGAGCACAAACCTTATGAGGAGCGGCTGAGGGAGCTGGGATTGTTCAGTCTGGAGAAGAGGAGGCTCAGGGGAGACCTCATTGCACTGTACAACCTCCTGAAGGGAGGCTGTGGTGAAGAGGGATCTGGCCTCTTCTCCCAGGCAACGAGCAGGACACGGGGCAATGGCCGCAAGTTGTATCAGAGGAGGTTCAGGTTGGACATAAGGAAGAACTTCTTCTCTCAGAGAGTAGTCAGGTACTGGAATGGCTGCCCAGGGAGGTGGTGGAGTCACCGTCCCTGGCAATGTTCAAGACGCGTCTGGATGACGTGCTGCGTGATATGGTTTAGTGCTAGTGGTGGCAATGGTGATGAGGAGACAGTTGGACTGGATGATCTTATAGGTCGTTTCCAACCTTGTGATTCTTGTGATTCTTGTTAGGATGCTTCCAATCACTGGCAACATTTTTTAGTGCCATCATTTGACTGAAGAGAAATGCATCAGCCCAGGAATGTGTGATATTCAGCAGAATTTGCCCTCCACTGGTATAAAAAAGTTAGGAGCATATGAAAGATAAGGTCAGTAGTAGAATAAATCCTGCAAACTTCAATATCCCATACATGGCAACTCATTTACAGTTAAACTCATGGCAAAGAAGGTGATTGAAGAATCCAAGGCCATCAAATAAATGACTGACAGTAATTTAAGCCCAATCCAGGAGCCTCCAGGAGCTTTATGTTTTGTTTTCTGATCACTAAAGCACATGCTTACCTTTGGATCTAGCAAAAGTTTGATGCAGCATGTCAAATACATTTACTGCTTTTTGGAATGAGAAGGTGGAACGTGTCCCCGGATCTTCCAAAAGTAGGTTGAATGCAAGGGACAGCTTGTGAGGATGCATGGGATAATGGTTCCTGATGCTCTGTGAACATTACTGGCAAAGTTTTACATGTTGATGCAGAGCTAAGATGCCTTGGCTTAGAAAAGTAGGAATCCATGTGAGAGGAGATATTTCCAAGAGAAGATAAAACCTTGTTTGCTTCAGTTCTTGGAAGAAGTTCTGCATCACAGAGCTGCTCCCAGCATTAAGCAGCTTAGCTCCAACAGAATTAACCAGGTCAAGGCATTCCCCTCCATTGGAAATAAGAACATGCATTCTATCTAGTAGAATTTGCTACGTTCTACAACAGAAGGCCTGCTTTAGTTAAGTTTGCAATATTTATGAGAGTACCTCTAAAACCTGATTCACCTAAGAAACCAGATGGACCTGCATAACAGCAGTACAGAATGGTATCATTATTTTAAGGAGATTTATACTGAAGAATATGCTACAATTTATGGTGATACCTAATACTAAAACAAACAAACAAACTGAGTATGTCATATGTGGCATATCAAATAACTTACAGATAATGCTTTCAATTTTTTTTTCCAAAGCAGAGTTTTGAGAACATGCAGCAATTCTCAGTTTTTGTTGTTGAATCTCTTACCTCACTCATCCCATTAAGTGAATATTGTCTAAATGCAGTTATCTCTGATTAAAAATGAGATCACTAATATTCTGAGTTTCTAGAAAAGTAAAATCCAGGATAATGCATGACAACAAACCAAGAATTCAGACAGCAAAAGCTGTCAGCCACTGTTGAGACCTTTGGTTATAAAGACTGAATTTGTTCTTGTATAGATACCTAAAACACCCTCATAATTTTCTGAGAGGTTTCCCAAAGGAGATGAAAGGGTAATTTGACCCTCATTTCTAGTGTTTTTACCTCCCCAAGTCTGCTCTTTGGTGAAGCGATCCATCACCTGCTTCAGTGATAACAACGGTACGCAATATATGTTCTGTCATCGTGTGTTTCTATACGAATTTCTTAAATTCTTGTGATTGGAAACAAGGAGTAGAGTCTCTCTCACAGGCTGTAATTTACAGAACACGTTCTGGTGGCCAAACAAGAACTCAAAGAAAATAGAATCATAGAATGGCCTGGGCTGAAAAGGACCATAATGCAGTATCAATAATTTCTTAGTTACATGTACAAGTCAACGTGGTCCTTCCAAAAACACACCAAAGCAGTGAACTTCTTTTATTTATCCATCAGCCTCTGCCCCATTTCCACTCCTTTATGAGCCACAATAAAGGACAAATAATTTGTAATTCCTTAGACACGAGCAGAAAGGTGGCCGTTGTACACACACTTGGAGAAAGGCATTCCAATGAATTTCTCTTACATCTCTTGCCATCCCGTTATGTTACCATATCAGTAGGTCTTCATCTCCAGCAATGAAAACAGTATTTAGGTCAATGTGTTCTTTCTTAATTGCATTAGCCACTTGCCTAAGACTTGGGCTTCCTTCGCTCCCTAAGCTGCCTTTCCTTAGTAACGTGTGGTCTTTAAATATATTTCACTCTTAACGTTGCACTTAATCTGTCAGGTGAGAAGGATCAAGTCTGCTTTAGGCAGAATAAAGTGATAAGTGGGATTCTAATTAGAAAACTCAAAAGGGTGGAGAGACGCCTTCTTATAATAAATCGTTCCCATCTTATGGCTAGCTTTTACACTCCAAAAGCAGGGGTGAGAACTTGTTTTCTGCACATGTGGTCTAATTATATTCAGAATTTTTTCTGTTTTCATTTTTTAAAACTTTTGCAAAGTGTTCTGAAACCTTATAAATAAGGAAAAAGTACAATATTGGCTTTTATCTTTCAAGAGTTTCTTTATATTGCATTTTA